GTAGGCACCCCCCCCGCCCGCTGTGGGGGCCGGGGCGCTGGCGGGGCGACCCCTGCCCCAGCCCGGTCCCTGCGGGGTTCTCCCCCACACCCTCCAGGTGTAAGGTCTGCCCCTTGACGTTCTTCACCAAGTCGGAGATGCAGATCCACTCCAAGTCGCACACGGAGGCCAAGCCCCACAAGTGCCCCCACTGCTCCAAGTCCTTCGCCAACGCCTCCTACCTGGCCCAGCACCTGCGGATCCACCTGGGCGTCAAACCCTACCACTGCTCCTACTGCGAGAAGTCCTTCCGCCAGCTGTCCCACCTCCAGCAGCACACCCGGTGAGGGACCCTCGGGAGGGCTGGGGGACCCTTGGCCGTGGAGGGGGCAGCCCTGCACCCTGACTGGCAGCTCTGCTGCCCTGCTTTGTGGTGCCTGCTGGCCCGCTGCTGCCTTCCTCCCTGCCATGCTCATCATCAGCACCACCATCATCCCCACCACACTCGTCATCTCCAGCACCTTCATCCTCCCCAAAACACTCATCAGCACTTTCATCATCCCCAACACCTTCATCATCCCCAGCACCTTCATCATCCCCAACACCTTCATCATCCCCAGCACCTTCATCATCCCCAACACACTCACCTCCAGCACTTCCATGGTCTCCAACACACTCATTGTCTCCACCACCTTTGTCATCCCCCCTGTGCTCATCATCTCCACCACCATCCTTCATGCAGTATCTTCGTTGCCTACCCTGCTTCTTCCTCCCCGCCACTCGTCATCTCCAGCACCTTTATTGTCCCTACTGTGCTCCTCCATCTTCACCCAGCTCATTGTTCCCACCACTTTCTTCATCCCCACCACCCTCATCATCCTCAACACTTTCATTGACCCCACCATGGTCATCTGTCTGCTGCGTCAGTCCATCCTCACCACCTTCATACTCTCCATGACCCTCGTCATCCTCACCCCCTTCATCCTCCCCGGAACACCAGTTTGTCTCCACTGTCTTCATCATCCCCACCATCCTCATCATCCTCACAACTTTCATTGACCCCACCATGGTGATGTGTTTGTGCTGTGCCAGTCCATTCCCACCACCCTCATCATCCCCACCACCCTCATCATCCCTACAATGCTCATACATGCTCAACACCTTCATCATCCTCTCCACCTTCATTGACCCCACCATGATCACGTGTCTGTGCTATACCAGTCCATCCCCACTGCCTTCATCATCTCCACCACACTCATCCTCCTCAACACCATCATCACCACCATGCTTATCATCCACAACACCTTCATCACCCTCAACACCATCATCTTCAACACCTCCATCTTCCCCACAGCCTTCATCCTCTCCCCTCTCCCAGCCCCCCCATCCCGCTCCTGTCCCGTGTCCTGGGGCACTGGTGCCACCATGCCGTGTTGGTGGTGGGTCGGTGACTGTGTGTGTGTCTGTGTGTCCCCAGAATCCACACCGGTGACAGACCCTACAAGTGCCCCCACCCCGGCTGCGAGAAGGCCTTCACCCAGCTCTCCAACCTCCAGGTCTGTGCGGGGGGCCTGGGGCAGGGCTGCAGCGGGAAGGGGGTCCCCCCAGCTCTGCCTGACCCCCCCTGCTGCCCCCCCAGTCCCACCAGCGCCAGCACAACAAGGACAAGCCCTACAAGTGCCCCAACTGCTACCGGGCCTACACGGACTCGGCGTCGCTGCAGATCCACCTGTCGGCTCACGCCATCAAACACGCCAAGGCCTATTGCTGCAGCATGTGCGGCCGTGCCTACACCTCGGTGAGCACGGGGGGCACCCCTGACACCCTCCTGGAGCCCCCCAGAGCCCCCCAACCCCCCCCAGGCCCCCCTCACCCCTGTGCCCCTTCCCCAGGAGACCTATCTGATGAAGCACATGTCCAAGCACACGGTGGTGGAGCACCTGGTCAGCCAGCACTCGCCGCAGCGCACCGAGTCCCCCGGCATTCCCGTGCGGATCTCCCTCATCTAAGCGGGGAGGGGGGGCAGCAGCAGGACCCCCCCAGCACGAGGAGGAGGAAGAGGAGGAGGAGGAGGAGCCCCCCCCCGGCGCCGCGGGCCGTGCCCCCGCAGGTTTGGTGACACCCAAAGACGGTTTCAGAGCACTTTGAATCTCTGCGGTTTGGTTTTGGTTTTTGGGGGGAAGGAGGGGGGGGGGCACATAGAGGTGGCGGGGGGGAGCAGTGGGGGTGGGGGAATGTCCCCCTTACCCCCCGCCAGGCCCCCCACCCCCCCCTCACCCCCCATTTTTTGGATACAAATATATATATATATTTATTGGCCAAGAACTTGGTGCTGCTAAAAAACCAGAAATTCACCCCAAAAACGAACCGTGAATGGAGCAAAAACGCAGCGGGGGGAGGGGGGCAGTGGGGGAGGAAACACCCCCCCCTGACTCCCCCCCATCCCCCAACGGACTCTGGGCCCCAGCGCCTCCATTTGGGGTTGATTTTTAACCATTTTGGAGTTTTTTTTGGTGTTCTTTTGGGGTCCCTTTCGAGGGCAGAGCTGCGTCCCCCCGGGGCTGGACCCCCCCATCCCACAGCCCCACTTTTGGGGGGTCTGGGGGGTCCCACCGCTTTGCCTTGTGCCTGCCTGTACATACCCCCTGTATAGAGCTGGGGGGGCCACCCCCCAAACCTCATCTATATTCTGTACCTTTTGGTTCATTTTGGATATTAACTGTGTTATTTTTTATACACTTTTTAAGCCTTAACTCAGCGTTTCTTTGTTTTTTTTTTTTTTTTTTTTTTTTTTTTTTTTTTTTTTTTTTTTTTTTTTTTTTTTTTTTTTTTTTTTTTT